GCTATTTTGCATCTTCAGTCAGACATGATGATACCACAGGCAATATTGCCAAGCAAGAAAAACCAGTGACAGCAGCAGCCCACCTACGTGGAAGAGCAGAGATTCTGTGACAGACAGAGGGAGGTACAGTGGCAGCCTGGCAGAAAAAGCAGAGAGAAACTGAGCTTTAAATAAAAAGACCCTTGTCAGCACCACCAAGCACATAAATTTTGTTACTAGTACACAGGAACACACTGTGCCACCCAAACACTCTCAAGCAAAAAAGAAAAAATCCCAGGTAGGTAAATGCCTTCCAATTGTTTCCTAAAACACTGCAGGTCATGCTGCCCTGCACAGCAAACTGTCAGGGGACTGGTCAGGGCCAAACACTGCGCTCAAGTTCCACACTGACATGCGGTAAGAAGTAGTAGGAGATGACAATACACTGCAAGTGGAAAAAGAGCAGGACTGTCTCCACCAGCTTCAACGCTGTCTTGTACTGCACTACTGAACTGCAAACCACAGCGTTAACCTACATTGGAAAAGTTTCAGTGTATAACCATCTTTTCTTGGGAGAAATGACAGCTACACTCCAGGGGCTGGGCCAAAACAGTCAGGATATTATGAATCCAACTCATTTACCCTCAAGTCTGACTCCTCTGCACAGCAATGTGAGTTATCAGCTCAGCTTGACAAAACCATTTAGATGCTAATATGAACACAAATTCTCTACATCTTATAAAAATTGCTTTGTGTAACTACAAGCATCTCTGCACCAAACCTCCAAGAAATGCAAAACATCAGGGAATGCAGAAGTCAGAGTTCATTAGCTTGCTCCAACTGCATGAAGACATTTTTATTATGTTAATTTATTTGAATAGGCCATTAAAATATAAATCCAAATAGAAAGTCTGGCCAAATAAATATTATGGCTACTTGAACAAAACAAAACCTTTCCGATAAAACGTGAAATGGCAATTCTACGTTAAGTGCAACTGCTGCCTTCATCTTTCTTCAGATCTTGACTTGCCTGTTGGAAAGAGAACAGAACGGGCATTATTTGTCCCCCTGGCTCCTCACGCAGGTCTCTAAAGAACACTTAACCTAAACAACCAATTTATGGTATTAAGCTCTTGGACATTAAGTATCTCAAATTCCACCTCAGGGTATTAGGCCAACTGCTGTTTAAATTATGTGTAAATTGGCTCAATCATGACTCTCCACTAGAAAGATCTGCCTTAAAGATCATGCCCTTAGGGAATCAAATGCCTTAATGACAACCTACCACTAAGCTAATCAAGAATCAGAAATGGAGTTAGAATTAACTAAAGCAGAAGCACTGAAATAAAGACAAAAAAAGTCAATAGCGTTATCTAGCTAAAACAGGTCATGCATAGTAGAGTTTCCCCACCATTTACTACTGCAACACATTACTACTATAATAAAAATAAATTTTAAGCCTCTGCAAAATAATATAAGACATTTGCAACTCTTCTTTTAACTTCAATGCAGTGAAATTACAACTCATTCACAAGTTGGAAGCTTTTAAGTCCCATCATCAGTCGATATCAGATCTCAATAATGTCACTGTTTAATCCTAGCCATAAAGATTTCTGTGTGAGAGTGTATGAATATACTATGTAATTTCTGCTGTAACCTTACAATACTATGTTCTTTCCTTGCTCACAATAAAGGATGGATACTAAACCTACATACACCCGTAAAAGTTCAAGTATTCAGTGCTCTTAAAATAAGTAAAAGATTTTGCACTTAAAAACTGCTTGGTATTTAACTTCCAGGAGCCCACATACTGGACAAGCCTGCTGCAAATCACAAATTCATGTGCAGGTTTCAGTATGTAAGCATGTTAAGTACATTTCAAGTAAATCTACATCTACAGAATGGTTCCATGTTTTGGTCAGGAAATCAGTCCTGTCAACAACATTTTTCTACAATGGATCTGGCTTTGACCCATGCTGTGGAAATCATTATCAAGTGCAGAAATTAAGGCAGAATGCAGTGTACACACGGGATAGGTTTTGAGATGATACTGTCAGAAGAAAAATAAAAATGTAAATCCACGTCCTCTCATTTGTCCTCAGGCTACAAGATCCTTTTGCAACTCACAAGCTTAGGTATTTTTTGTCTCAGCTCTCAGAAGCCCATGTAAGAATTCTTCAGCAAAGCCTGACGAAGTAGCGGCGCAGTCTAAGGAAGAAAGTTAAGGACAAACACATCTCCTGTTCTATTTTAGAAAGAAGATTCAAAAACAGCCTCTCTGCCAACCAGGAAATTAGAATCACACGATACGTCTGAGGCTGAACTGGGAAATACCAGCATAAAGTCATAAGCACACACTGACTCCTTGTAAAACAGCAACAAATGAAGATGTTGTGAAAATAATTCTGAATCCAAAGAGATTCTCACTGAAAAGCAGATAGTATTTACATACACCTAATGTCACGGACATCAAGACGCATGAGAGAGGTCAATGAGAAACACAAACTAGCAATTAGGTTTTGACAAGTCATGAAATGAAGGGAGCATTTTTAGGAGCCTGTAGTAACAGGGCAGAAACCACCCTGGTGGTGCCAGGCTAAGCACACACTCTGGAAAGCCAGCAGCATCAGGCTGAGTCAGCTGAAGCTGTCTTTTAGTACCACACTTTCTCAGAATTACTTTCAATGGATTTCTGGATTTATATACAAATGATATGTTTAGTCTCACATCAGACAAAAGAACATGCTGCAAACTTTTACCTTACCTTTATTTAACTGAGCTAAACAGAAAATTCACTTGTCCAAATGCTCCTTGTTCCCTACACACATTTAAAAAAACATTCAGCTTCATTATTTTATGTTTTAGACAAGTATATCACGGCCATGCCCATAAATAACCCTCATTTATCATTGTTAAGTTCCTGGGTTTTGCATTTTTTCCAATAAATCGATAAGAACTTCACAGTTGCTGCCTTTCCTTTATCCAGAGCAGCTTTCCTCTCTGTGCTAAAAAGAAGCAGGTAGATTTCAGCAGTACTTCCAATCTAAGCAACAAGTTTTCACGTGTGGAGAAATGAGGGACATCAAAAGAAAAAAAAAAAAGGAAAAAAAAAAACAAAAAAGCAGGGTAAGAAAAATTGATTTTTAGTATTCATGCCAACAGACATAACCCTCTCAGCAACATGGTTACTTACACGTAGTAACTTTGCCAGAGCTGTGAGTCAACAGCTTGGAGCTGCCATACTCTAAGGCTGACCATGCCAGAGGTACTGCTTAATAGTGAAAATCAACATGAACATGTTGTGTAAGCAACACAGTCCATAAACGTAGCCTTTCGGCTTTGTTCAAAGTACTTCAAACAGAGAACTATAAGAAAAGTCTAGTTTGAATTCCACGAGCTTTAAAAGAAATCAGAACCTCTCAACTATCATTTCAAATGCATGCGTATTAATTTACAGAAATGTAAATGTAATACTCTCCTAAGTAAGCAGTCTGACCTTCACAAGACAGTGTTCTTAGTTCTAAGATACAGGTAAAACAGAAGGTTTTAAAACACTCTTACAAGCTCTACTAAACTTTTGAAGCAGCCCTACATATTTAAATCTTGAAATTTTGAATGATTCACTCAGAAATATTGAGTCACACTATTCCTCTCAATCCTCACGGATCTGTTAAGAACATTCAGGTATGGAGTTACCAAGACATAGAACTTGTACCTAACCAGCAAGGAATTACTACTTCCCTGATCCATGAAACGACTTAGTGACTCTGCATACCCCATGCAGAATTTACCTTCATTGCTCTGTTTATTGCTGCCTTTATGTAACTCTTTTTGTAGAAATATAGATTCCTGTCACTTTCACTTCCGTACTTATTTCCTGGCCATAGTTTATTTCTTATTTAAGAAGTAAACACTCCTCATCATATAATGCCTTCCTTCACTGACTTCATTGTCAGCATTTTCCCATTAGTTCTAAACTCTTTCTCAACGAAATCAATCCAATTAACTTCTTTGCCTTTTTCTTAAGGCAAAGATGTCAAGTAAAACCAGACCAGGTGCCAATGCCTCCTATTTGACAATATCCTCTGATGAGATCCATCACTGTGTTTCATTTCATTGTTCTCAAGAACAGAGCTCTCGCATTGTAGAAAACAAGGCCTTCCATCTCTGGCACAAAGCCAAATCAAAGTATTACACATGATCAATACTCTGCAATAAAGAATAAATAAGGAATGCAATTAAAATTAACAATCAAATTGTCTCTCAGAGTATGACACGAGAGTATAGCATTATCCATTTTCACTCATGACTTTTTCTCAGCTAACACTTTCTTCAAGGGCAGTGTCAGCAACTGCTAAGGCAGAAAAGACCTTACTGTGTTTTGTCACTTGGTACCACCAGCTACAGCAATTTATGTCAGTTTACAATGCTTAGTATCCCACCACCACTTCTCTTCTCATACTTTGGAGGTAACAAATCTCAAGAGACACAAAAATACAGTGTGAAACCAGATAACTGTTCTAGGCCGTATCCTCTGCTTCCCAAGGGAGCACCATGCCTCATGTTCAGCACCATTACCTCAGATGACATCTCAGAAGTGTCTTTGGATGAAAGGAAAACATACAGTAAATAATTTGTGCAAATAGTAAATGGTGTTCTTAAATAATTTTCACTTCCACATTTTTAGTCTTCTCAGCATTTCAGCTACTTGATGATGATGATGAACTTATCTCTACCCAAGAGTCTTAACACCTATTCAGGTTCAGTAACTCAACTGTTACAAGGGTGACATGGCTTTCTTCCTACTTCTCCCCCTCATACTTTCATTCATTCTGAACGATTGTCTGAATAATATCTATATATTTATGGCTACAAGTTTATACAAACAGATATGCACTTTATGTTTATAAAACTGAGATTTTGAAATGTTTACTGTGAGAAAGTTAATCTTGTATTTCACTTGAACCTCAGAGCGTTTCTCCTGAAAGCAAGGCAGGCAATAGTTCAAGTCCAGATCTTACCTCAGCTTTACATTAAGGACTTATTGTTCATTTCACATTCCCAGTCAAGCAGAGGAACAGCAACATAGGTGAAAAGGCTTCCAGACCTGTACGAAGAACATATTCTACTTGTGTTGGTAGGTACAAAAGCCATACCTACTGAACAAAACATAATCTTTACATATTAATATTCCAAGTAATTTATTTTCACAAGTTGCTGGTATCCTCAGTTTTCTAACTACTTCAAAATAATTACAAACAGTTCAGCAAGTTCTTGACCACATCCTCAAACACTCCAGCAAGTCCTTCAGACCTGCTGATTTGTACTGAGTATAACACACGTTCATTGCTGTTTTTTAATCACCAACCCAGCAGAAAATTAAAAAACATCAGTTTATCTCCTCATTTTTTTTCTCTATAAACCTCTATTTAAAAAACAACTAAGAAGTAACGCTTGCAAAAAACTCAAATGAAGTGTCTGAAAATGATTCTTATTTGCTACAGGCTATTTTTCTTTCTATAATTAACAAGAACATGTTCTGTCTTTCCAGATTTTCCTGTAACCTGCAAGTCCAAAACATACCCCAAATGTGCCAGACTAATGATATAGTCTAGTAATAGAACAAAAGTTGAGTGCCAACATATCAGAAACACTTTCTAACAGACTGTATACTGCACCACAGCATTGCAATTTCACTACCTGGTTATTTTACCAAACAAAATACGTGTCAGTATTATTAATTACACAATACATCATGCTCACCTATTTGCTTCTACAATGCCTTTGTAGGAAAACTAAAGAAATAAATACTGAAGGTTATTTGTGTCAGAGTATGTCATAGAGGCTCAACACACGAAGACTTTTCCCTTGGCTTCATGTAAACTGAGTCCTAGTGCTGTTTGATTGTCATGACAGTACCAAACTCTGTAAGCAAATGCTAACCCCCTCACACTGATACTCTATTTCTTGAATTTAAACAAGAAAATTACTATTCCCATCTTTTGCACCAACGTATTTGGTTTCTATTCCAAATATGAACTACTTGAGGGTTTGAGATTTGAGACAGTGGAAAAATCATTAATCCACGCCACAAATGATGCCTTGGTTGTCTATGAGCCCCTACAGCTGAGCACTTCCTATATCCCTGGAGACAAAAGATCTTAGCACTCTGCTCCCATCTGCAAAATCAGGTTTTAAAAACAGCATCCACTCTAATGTTTTTCCTTCTACTGTCTCATAAACCCATCTAGCAGAGTCTGAAATAGATATTTGTCATTCATACTTACTTTGACATTTCACTCTAAGGAGTCAAAGCCTACTTATTAAAAAAAAAAAAATCACTTTAAACACAGAAGAAAATAGGAATAGGAAGGTAACTAAACAGCAGCGCTGCTTAAACTTGACTTTCTGCAGTAAAAGCAGGACAAGAGAAAAGGCTGGGGGACTCTGGAAAACAAATCTCACTTGTGCAGCACTCAAGACTGGATTAGAGGGGACCAGTAGAAATGGTTTTTTTGTTTTGTATTTATTTACAGAACCCTGACATGCCTGAAGCCACTCACACAGCCACATTCCAGAAAGTTGTTATTCAGGACAACTCATTCCTGTTGCACCATTCACAGTTAGGGTAACAACATTGCAAGAATTAGACTTACAGGGCACCTCTTAATTTAAGGACTTGGTTGTGAGAAGCAGCACAAGTTCTACTAATCACACAGAAATCATGCAGAGGAGTTCATGTACTGGAATAATCAGAGCAAGGCTTTTTGCTGTGCTGCGTTCTTGTATAGAGGCCAGAAATCAGTTGTGGAACGTGGCAGCAGTTCTCCAGCTTGATACAGTTGGGCAAATAGCATCTGTGACCTTGAGCAGCAATACCCTGTCCCATTTACAGATCTTGATATCATTAAATATATTTTCAAGCGCACTAAATACAGAAGTGGTAAGGAAGATTTTCACTTGTGTATGTCAAAAAACTCAACAGCCACACACAGTCATATAATGCACTGAAAGGAAGCACACAAACTCCACTGCTAGAATACAGTCCCAATTATACAAGCCCTACTACATGGTATAAGCTGTTATTGGGTATTCCATTTTCAACTCTACTTCCCAATGAGAGAAGATGTTTGTAATTAAAGCCTGATGGAAGCAAAATCAATTCTTCAAGGCAGCATTTTCGTGAAGGTCAAATCTGTGCAAGACACATTATGCTTGATATCATCACAGAACAAAGGGTTCCCTGTTATTTCAACTTCATTCTTCAGAAACTGAAGGAAAAAATCCCATTTGATCTGTGGGCACAAAGGCCCGAAATCAAGTCTACAGTTTGTCATAGAACATAGAGAAAGCAAAGCTCAAGTACTGGAAAGAGTGAAGCAACCATGTGGTTCAAGTGTTACAGCAGTGCCACCCAATAGTGACATATAGCATACTAGAGGAGGAGGCACCATCTAGAACACACATGTGATAACAACAGCAACTTTCAAGTAGATAAAAAACATCTTCACAAGTCTGATGGCTGTCTAAACAACCTATATAGTCACAGGAAGAGGAGTAGGAAGCATTTATAACTTTGATGTGGTTATTAGAGTTCTCAAAAGTAAAAATGAGCAAACCAATTAGTAAATATAAATATATAATATATATAATAATATACAATATATAATATAATATATAATCTATATAATAATATAATATATATATATATATAATAGTAATATATATTTAGTAAATATATATATATATAACATATATTCATTAAGAGAAATTCTTCTTTTAAGGTTAATTCAGGGAGCAGAACATTAAGATACTTCTCTGAAGGAAAGTTCTGACTTCTTACAGCCCAAACATCACATAAGGAAAAGATAAGGAAAAAAGCCATCATAAGGGATTAAGTAAATTCCTCGATAATACATATTCACGTCTTACACTTTAAATTAGGCAATGTAGATATAATAAGAATGTATTTGCAAGGATGAAACTGAAGATGCAGGCCTTCTAAGGCAAGAGAGAAACATCAAAGTAGAATACAGCTTAAATCCTCTGTAGGAGAGAAATTTATTGCAGGGATATTTTGAAGATCTTTAAGATTAGAGAAATGAGGAATATATACAGCCCTATCACAACTATTTTATTCCTATTGTTTAATTTATGCCCAAATAATAGTTAGAACCTGACAAGGAAGAATCTCCTTAGGGCTGCAGAGAATTCCCAAAAGCTTGAATTTGAAGAAATGCTGTGTGTCTGAAATCCTAGTGATGCTATGGCTTCCTGATGGACAGCAGGTCCAGCTAAGGGCAGGCATGAATCATTTCAACGCATTAATGTGAGAATATTTGAAATGAGCCATCTGGTAACCCAGAGTTACTGGGCTTAGTACAGACAAGCCAGGTGGCACTCACACTGCAGCCTTCACTGCTGTGACTTGGGGCAATCTACCTGCCACAATGGCAGCAGTCCATGAACCCATTTCACTTTTAGACAATACATGACGTTTTGTTTTATAACACTGTTTTTATCTTTTTTTTTTTTTTTTTAAATTGTTGTTACCATCCTTCCAAAAAAAAAAAAAAAAAAAAACGAAGTAGAAAATGCAGCAACTTCCACATTGCCATGAAAGAACAGAATTGTGAACATCTTGACAGGTCGGTGAATCAAGAGTTAAGATGCAATCCTGTGCTCATTTCTTATCAGACCATTAAATGTCACCTAACTGCACCCCAGCTGCTGACCTGTGGCACGGAAACAGCATGAGCACACAGCTAAAAGAGTAAGAAGATTGGTGGAAAAAACTTAAAGATGCGCAGAAGCTTGGAAGTATTGGTAAGCAAAAATTGTTTTGGAGAACAAGTTAAGGATGGGACACTGGCAGAAATTAACATTTGTTTTGCTATGTGAATGGAAAGAACCATGTGTGAATGCAAATCTTTAATGGCTACATCTCATCTATTAATTTTCATGTTCAAAACAGTTATAAAAAACTGCATCAGAGCAGTCAGGTAAGAACTCCAGACAGTTCTGCTGTGAAAAATAATACCCAGCCCCTTGCCTTATAAACACCAACCCAGAGCACATTACATGGGAGTTCACACAAGCTTTGCCCCCCTGCCAGTCTTCATACATGTACAAAATCCTTATTCTCACATAAACTTTGAGATATGACAGTCTACAAACAAGTAGAAAAAGCCTGTCATGGTGCAGTTAAAAACTGCATTAAATCTTGAGACGTGCCCTGGAATAAAAGAAAAACCTCACTGACCAGCTAATATTTAAATTCTGCCAGAAAACTCAAAACCAAAAATAAAAAAATAAAAAAAGGAAAAGAAAAGAAATCCTTTGTTATTTAATGCATCAATGAAAAAACCCAAATCAAAACACTCAGCTGCCAGAACATTTGAGTGAACAGGAATACTGTACAAAGACTTTTCTGATCTGTACCCATGTTAGCTCCAAAACACCTATGAGATTAAATAGTTTTAATCAGATCAGAGTGATGAAAATAAAACTGTTAAGCCAGCATACTAAATCACTGCATCACTGTAACAAATCACTAAATCGCTGTAAACAACATAAAAACCATGAGATCATGGCATAAGGTTTTCTGTGGGCTCACGTGGGTGAAGATTCCAATTCTGAGTTCATTCCTAGACAGCAGAAGTCCCACTGCATTCAAAAGCAGCTTTGCTCGCTGGAACTTTTCTGTATTGTGCTGTATTCCTTCATTTAAAAAAGGTTTACACAGTAACCCTGAGTAGTAAAGAATTTACTCATTGTTACTGCTGGCTCTCTCATAGGCCTGCTACAGGTCTGGCAGCTTCCAAGTATCTCTGAAGCCTCAACATCTTCACTAACACAAAGAGATCCAAAAAACAAAAACAAAGCAAAACAGAGGAAAACACCTTAGTTGTACAATGCTAGAATTCAGAGTGTACTCTGGATAAGAGACTATAGTAATAAGTATAGTCCAAAGATAGATACGCTACTGGGACCAGAGCTAGAGATGGAGAACACGCAAAGCTAAATCTCACTGCAAAAAAGCGAGGGCAAGCGTCCTATTGCAGCTACCTGTACTAAGTTGGTTTCCCCACCCAAATTTGCTTTGGG